CCCAGATGTGAGGCAAAAAGGGGAGGGAGAGGGCTTGAAAACCGTCAGTGGTCAAACATCAAAAATGTTTTGATGTTTGTGTACAGTTTTCCCAGTCCTGGGGTGGTAGCTGCTTCTCGAAGTTACTGCCTCCATGATACCCTAGCATTTTCTTTTTGCCTTTTTAGTTACTTAGATATATAGTGAACACATTTTTGTAAGTTCTTCTTGTCAAAATAATTGATATCGTTTTGGCCCCAGACTAGAACCTGACTGACACAAAACCCCTTGGCTGTTCTTAACAGGGCTAGCATTAACTTAAAAGGTGTGGTAGTTGGTATGTAAACATTTACTCACCTTTCCTCACCCACCTAATAAACTGGAATGCTGACTAAGCATCTCTGTCCACAGGATCCCATTTCTTAAACTTATGAGTCTATAGCTTCTGGATTCACTTGTTATTTTTAGGCCAGGAGGAATTAAAAGAAATAGAGCTTATAATTTCCTATAAACTGCATGTCTTGGAGATCACATGTCAATACATAGAGAACATTCTCTTTCTTTTTAACGGTTGCATGACATTCTATCGGAGATACACCAGACCTGTTTAACCATCCCTTTACTAACAGCCATTTGGGTTGCTCCGATTTTTGCAGGTGAGGAAACTGAAGCCTAGTGAGATTAAGTGGCTCACTCTAAGCAACGTCACATAAATGGCAGAGCCAGGATTTCTATAAAATCATAAAATGTCAGAACCCAAGCTTAAAAATATTTTTATTTTTAAATATTTTAAGCAAACAGTTAAAAAAAGAAGCTATCACTCTTGTTGAATCAACATGCTGACCCATCTACATCAATTTTAAAACGAAATCAAACACACCTGAAGCCCCCATGTACCCTCCCTGATTCCATCAGCAACTTCTGCCCTAGGAAGGCAGAGCATGACTTTCACACATCATTCCAATACATGATTTTATATAATCTTAGTAGTTCATATAATTTGAATCCACAGGAAATACATTATTGTCAAAACAACACCGTTTACTATAATGCCAACAATGCTTACATGCCAGCCACTATTCTAAGCCCTTTACATGCATTATTTCATTAACCGTCCCCCCGGCCCCACTCATCCTGTGAAGTTGGGACTATTCCGTTTTATAGAAAAAGTGAAACACAAATAAGTTTCCATAATGTGCCCACAGATAAACAGTACATTTAACTTTACATAAACGGTGTATTGGATGTACCTTCTGCAACTTGCTCAGCATCATTTTCCATTTATCTATGTGGAAAGATGTAACTCGAGCTCTTTCATATTCACTTCCAAAGTACCAAAAACAACACATTTATTAATCTGTTTTTCTGTTGATGGAAATTTAGGCTTTTCCCAATCTTGCTACTTACACAGTACTGCAACAGACAGTCTTATACACATTTCCTTCTTCACATGGAGTTCTTCTAGGGTTTATCAGAAGTAGGTAGAATTGTTGGGTGGTAGAGTACACACAACTTTACAAGATTTTGCAAATCGCTTGGCACAGTTGTCGTCATTTCCACTTCCACAGCAGTGAGTTCCCACTGCTCCAAACACTTACCCACACTAGAGCTTTTAAAAATTTGCCAACTTGATGAGTGTGAGACGGTCCATATAAATTTACATTGCCTGTGCTTTCTTCTCTGCACATGACTCTGTCTGGGCTGACAGTCTCTGTTAGCAAACGTGGGGCCAACCACACCGAACAGCTGGCTGACAGACCTTCTGATACCCACCCCTCTCTGTAGAGTCCCAGCTCATCTGGCTCTCTCCAGCCCCAACGTCAGTTACCCCTGGGGAGCGAGAGAAGGCAGGGCAGAGCTGGAAGAAGCCTGCATATTCTCCAGGCCAGGATAGGGGTACGAGGTGAGAACTGGTGGCTGGGGCAGTCAGAAACTGTCACCGGAGCCATGTGGCTCAGAACCACCCACAGCTGGGCTCCTAACTCGCAGGAGTTACGCTTGTGGGTGGCCTCCAGTCTACATTTCACCCAAGGCCCCTTCAAAAAACTCCAATCCTGCCTTAGCTGAACTGAATTCAGTTCTATATTCCTTAACACAGGAGCAAAATCTTTGCACAGATAAATGAGCACCCTACCCTGGCCTCAGGCTGGCTGCAGTGTGGGCATAACTTTCAGAAACCCAGACATCACGTAACCAAGCAAGATCCTGGCACAGGGTACAGGAGTGGTGGGGCCAGGGGAGAGAGCTTAGAGGCATGAGGGTTAGGGAAGGCCAGGCCTGGAAGAGGACCTGGGCCAGCACAGACAGAGGTGTGGCACCCCAGGTGAAGGGAGATGGTACAAGGCGGCCTGTCCAGGGACGTTCAGGGAAGGGCAATGAAGTCAAATCCAACACTGATTACACCAAAACGTTTAGTAGTTAGCTCCAAGTAGTCAGCTTTTCCTTTTTCCTTTTAGGTAATCTGTATTTATGAATATTCCTATCATAATCACATATTATTCATAAAATTAAAATTATTTAAAAACTCAGGTTATCGAACAGACTGCATCAGTACAATCCCAAAATATTAATGGTTTGCCTCAGTATGGAGGGATTTCTGTTTTTATTTCATTCTTCGTACATATTAAAATTTGATTTGAATGTTTAAAAATAAGTGTATCTCATTTTATAAAAATGGCAGTAAAAACTCCCCTATTGGGGCTGGAACTCTTTGAGGTGCCAGGTGGCCTAGGGAGGAGAGGGATGAAAATATGGACAGAAAAGGGGTATTTCTGTGGTTGCAGCATCAACTGACGGGGGAGCTGCAGCTCTGCGAGGGCTCTGGTCCTAGAGACCAGCCACCTAAACAGTAGGAAACCAAGCCCTCTTCTGCCAACCTCAGGAGTCAGGTAGCATAGCCAGTCACTCTCATTTTACACAAGAGGAAATAGGTGCAGATGTTCAGTGACTTGCCCAAGATCATCCTGCCAAGAAAACACACACCGAGCCTGGAATCCAGGTCTGATGACCCCAAGGTCTTTCCCATGACCCTGGGCCCTCAACACATGGGGCTCTTGTCCCTGTCCAGCTACTTCTAGTGCCAGTTTTTGGCACTATTCCAGTGACGGGACACCCAAATCCAGGCCATGGGCAGCTGCTGCTGTAGGAATCAAGAGAGAGGCAGAGCCAAGATGACCAAACCTTCCCAAGTACAAAGCTGAATGGGCATCAGAACACCAACAGGAGATGCTGCCATGGTATCTCTCTCCCCCACCCCCTGCCCATCCCTTGTGACGGCACCACAGTGTCAGAGCCGTCATTTTCACCTGCCCGTGACAATCCAGAGAGAATTAGACTACCTGTACTCTACTGAAGAGGACATTGTCCAGGTTGGTTTCTTCTCATTACAAGAAACAGCCTGCTCCATGAGTTTGCCCCTGCTCACAGCAGTGAAATGTGGTCTGATGTGGTGCTCTACTACTGAGCAAAGCATTTTGCTCTTATGTTTCTAATCTGAGCTCTTCAATAAACAGAGGCAATGACTACTGACATAAACTTTAGACATATCACTGTTTTACCCTTACATCACTGAGGTGACTCTTGCTTTTCACTTCAACACAAGTGAGTGGGCAAGCGAGAGCGGGTGCCTCCCCAACCAGGTCACGTTTTCTTGTGAGGGCCTCAGACACGTGAACTGGTACCTTTGGGGTGAACTCAAGGCCAACACCGGAGCCAACGCATGGAGAAGGCTACGTGGAGGCAACAGGGTGCCGCAGTGTGCCGACATTAGAGGTGCAAGTGCAATAATCAAGTGCTTACATCTGCTGAGAGCTGGAGGTCTTGTACACAATTCAGATACTGACGGGGGCTGATGGGGAGCGTTCCACTCATGGAAACTGGCAGCAGGGATAACCACGTAAAAATCTTTCAGCTGCATAATTTTACTGAGTCCTTGGTTAACCCTTGTAAAATGTAATACAGATTCAGACCACAACAGTCCTCAACTCAAAACTGTCCAAAAGCACCCTACCTCCCTTTGAGGCAGCCCAAGCCCCAGTGAGGACGCATGATCTTCACACGGCTTGGCCCACCACCTCTCTTCCAGCTGGCTCATTCCACTCTAGCCTAGGCCTCCTTGCCACTCCCTGAGGACACCAGACAAGACCCCACCTCTTGTGCCTGGACCTAGAGATCTACAGGGCTTGCTCCCTGACCTCCTTCAGGTCTTTGCTCAAATTTCACCTTCTCAGTTGAGACCCTCCCCAACCAGCCTACTTAAAATTGCAACCCCCCTTCCAATCCAGCACTCCCTCTCAATCTTCTCTGATTCATTTTGTCCACAACACACATCACCATCCAAAATACTATACATATCTCATTTGTTTATTGTCTGTGAAGATCCAAGACAGCAGATTTTTTTGTCTGTTCCAGTCACTGCTGGGTCTCTGGCACAGACAACAGTGCCTGGCATATGGGAGGTGCTCAGCACACTTCTGTTTAACAGATGGACCACTGCTGCCCGTGCACACCTGTAGGACGGAGATGGCAATGGGTAGAGCTGGTAGAGCTCCATTCTCCAGGTGATCGAGCCCAGCACCCTACTCTCCTCCACTTGCTGCTGAGACAACTCTATGCCCATAACAGATATCCAAAGCCAGTTGTGAAGGCTGAAGCCACAGCCAGAACTTCCCCGGAGGCATCTAGGGAGACCTGGAGGAGTTCTTGCTGCTGCTGCTGCTATTTGTAAGGTCAAACAGAATAGGCACCATCACAGGCCAAACTCAAAGGGAAACTTAGGATCCAACTGGCCCCTTCCCAGCAGCCACAGCCCACCATGCCACAGACGTTTTGTCGAACCACTCAGCGCAATGGTCTCTTCTCTTAGAGCTATGGAAGGAGACCTGGCTGGGGAGGCTCCAGGCCGTTGTGCAAAGGCCACTCCTGGGGGCCCAAGCCTCCAGAAGGACCCCAAAAAACAAGCTGCTACTCTTCCCCAGCACTCACTTTCCAGCAGGTAGGATGCAAGATGCCTTGAGTTTTTCAATCCTCAAGATTCTCTGCCACTAGCTTTCAGAACAGAAAGGCCTTTGTGAAGGTTTTCCCAGCACTGCCTACAAGTAAGGGTTCTCTAGCAGGGCAGCTAGGACCCCCACTGCCTCCACTGTCAGGTCCCAAGTTAATCTCCCATATGTTTTTTCATATGCCGAGCCAGATTTGATGACCACCTGAAGGTCTTCCCACACTCTCTGCATTTGAATGGCCTCTCTCGAGTATGGAATCTCTCGTGGTTAATGAGTTGTGAGCTCTTATTAAAAATTTTCCCACACGTGTTACATTTGTGGCACTTTTTCCCAAGGGGTGCATTCTGGAGTCCAGTGGGCCTGGAGCTCTGGTCACAAGCTTCTTCACAATCTTCAAGGGGCTTCTCCCCACTTGATTTTAATTCCTGTACACTCGCCCCTGTGTCCTGGCAGGATGATAACCCAGCCAGGCTGGATTCAGACTGTGCCGCTCTGGTGTGTCTTCTCTGATGAATGCAGAGGGTTTGTCTTCCAATGAAATCTTTCCCACACCACTGACACTTAAAAGGTCTCTCTTTAGTGTGGATTCTCTGATGATTAACAAGGCGGTAATTTCTATCATAAGACTTCCCACACAGATTACATTTATAGCGCTTCTCTCCACTGTGTATTCCCTTATGATCTAAAAGAGATCGTTTACGTGTAAAGGTTTTCCCACATTCTTGGCACCAAAAACGTTTCTCATCAGTGAGGATTTGTGGCTGCTGATCTACAGTGTTTCCACTTTCATGGTACTCGTACTGTTTTTCCAAAGCGTGAATCCTCTGATGTCGGGAGAAGTTAGAACTCCATCTGAAAGCTTTCCCACACTCCTTGCACTTATAAGGCCTCTCTCTGGTGTGAATTCTCTGATGGATGATGAGAAATGAGTGATTACGGAAGTTTTTGCCACACTGGCTACATTTGTAGGGCTCCTCTGTGGTGTTCTGAGGAACTTGGAATGCTCTGTCCTGACTAAAAGATGGCCCATCCTCAGGTTTTCTTTTAATGGCGTGCTGCTTCTTATGAACAATAAAGGTTGACCGATGAGTAAACTCTTTTGCACATTCGCTACATCGGTATGGTTTATTATCTGTGTGAGTTATCTGATGATCAATAAGAGACTTCCTTCGAGTAAAAGTTTTCCCACACTGTTGACACCGAAAAGCTTTCTCCACAGTGGGGGCACTCTGGGGCTCAGTGCACTTGGAAGTCTGCATGAAGTCTTCTCTACATTTGTCTTGACTGTAGAACTTTTCTTCCTGGTGCTGTCTCATATGACGCGTAAAGTTTGACCTCCACCTAAAGGTTTTCCTACACTTGGTACATTTATAGGGTTTCTCCTGGGTGTGAATCCTTTGATGTTCAAGAACGTATGATTTACAGTGGAAGGATTTCCTACACTGGCTGCAGTCAAAGGGTTTCTCCCCACTTTGATCTCTAAAATGATGATCAAATCCTGAGCCATGGGTGAGAGCTTCCTCACACTGATTAGATTCAAGAAATTTCTGCTTAGCATGGGTTTCCTGGTGCCGACGGTAGGCAGACATGCGTCGGAAAGCTTTGTCACATATACTACATTTATAAGGTTTCACTCCAGTGTGAATTTTCTCATGTCGCACACAGTTTGAGCTCCACCTGAAGGCTTTCCCACACACCCTACATTTAAATGGTCTCTCTTGTGTGTGAAGTCTCTGATGATATGCAAGATGGGAGCTATGACGGAAGGTCCTCCCACAGTCACTGCACTTATGCAATGTCCTTGCTGTGTGAAGATTCTGCCCGTGTTGGTGATGAGAGCTAAGGATGAAGTCTTTCTCACACGCATCCTTTGCATTCCCTTTTAGTCCAGCACGAATTCTCTGATGTAGGCTGAACCTGCCAATCGTGAGTCTGAGCCCTTTACCATAATCCTTGTAGTCACAGTGGTATGAACTCCCTCTCAAGTGTCTGCCACGGCCGTGTTTAAGAGATCGCTTCCTTCTGGGAACTCTCAAATATGTAATGTGTTTTAGATTAAGACTATTACTTCTTCCTGATCCTTCAGATTCTCTTCTTGCCCTGTGACTGAAATTGGTCTCTTCTTTCTTAACTCTCACTTGTATGGGGTTTCCACACTGCTCCTTTAAGTTGCTCTTCTGTTCAAAAGATTCTCTGAGCCCTGTTCCCTCAGAAACACTTGCCACATGACATCCTGATGGCACAGCAAAGATTTCTGCTTCTTCCAAAGGCTGATGTTTTAAGATGAACTTGTTTGTTTTAATCTGGAGCTCACCTCCTGACACAAAACAAACAAAAGCGAATGTATTCTTTTCCTATACTTGGAACTGGAGAAAGCACCAAAGGACAAAAAAACGCCATCAACTTGGGTGGTGAGGCTTTTGTCTGACTGACAATACCTTTCCAAAATAGTTAGGGATAAAGCAAAACATGGAAGAGTATCCCAGATTACAGGGAAGGAGGAGGAGGAGAAGCACGATGGGCACAGCAGCTAGACATATACAGAATCACATCCAGTTGAAAAATTAAAAGGGTTGAGAGGGGAGGGTTAAACAGCAAGAGTAGGGAGAGGAATCACGGCACAAGAGCCTGACTGGAAGGTCTCCAAGAACCGAGGGGTGGGGCTCCATGGAGGGCTGGCTGAAAGAACTGGAGATCAAGCCTGTCATGGGGAGGGACCAGGCAAAGAAGAGGAGCAGGAATAGGATGAGGGCCCCTAAGAGCAGAAAGGGGAGGGCACGGAGGATTCAGCAAGAGTGCGGCACAGGGCTGAGGAGGAGCATCAATGAATGGAAAAGACAGACAGGGTAAAGTCCTCCAGTGGGCAAGAACTGGTACTGAGAGAGCCGCTGGGGAAGGGGCATGGCCAGAAATGAATGTCTAATAGGCCAGCCTGGAGGGGAGAAGCCCAGAGGCCCAGCACTCCTTAGCAAGACCATTAAGGATCTTCCTTGTAGCAAACAATGGAGTAAGTTCTCCATGATTTACTTAGTGTAAAAGACCTTAGAAAGAGAAGAGTAGATGCAGGAGGAGCAGGATCTGGTAGGTTCTCTGGAACTCACCTGCAGAAGTAGCACCTGGATTCCCCTTAGGCTGAGCTCCTCGGACATTCAGGCCCCACGGCTCCCTTGTCTCCAACCAGGAGATGAGAGCAGGCTTGGTGAATGGCCCCACTGCAGAAGAGAAGGGGATGGGATGGGAAAGTAGATGAATCATACAGAACTACTTTTGAGGACCCTCTCAGGCCTGAGGTCCTGGTAGGGAAGAGGGAAAGGCTAGGGAGGCAGGTGGAGGAAGCCAGTGCAGGAGGCCCAGACAGCCACTTCTAAAGCCCTGAGCAGAGACAAGTTGCAGCCAAAAGGATCACTAGGACTCTCTGGAGGTGGGAGCCACAGGACAGCTCAATCGGTTAAATCAGCAAACATTTTCTGGATCTTAAATGGACTACGAACTTGACACATATTATTTTTAATTTTTATAATAACCCAGAATGACAGGTATTATTATCCCCATTTTTCCAGAGAGGAGACTGAGGTGATAGATTAAGTGATTTGGTTACTAGTTACAGAGCCAGGATCTAAACCCAGGTCAGGCCCCTTTCTATGTGCCATCAAGAAAACTAAGAAAGGCCCAGCCCCGTGGCTTAGCGGTTAAGTGTGCGCTACTGGCGGCCCGGGTTCAGATCCCAGGCACGCACCGATGCACCGCTTCTCCAGCCATGCTGAGGCCGCATCCCACATACAGCAACTAGAAGGATGTGCAACTATGACATACAACTATCTACTGGGGCTTTGGGGGAAAAAAAAGGAGGAGGATTGGCAATAGATGTTAGCTCAGAGCCGGTCTTCCTCAGCAAAAAGAGGAGGATTAGCACGGATGTTAGCTCAGGGCTGATCTTCCTTACAAAAAAGAAAAGAAAAGAAAAGAAAACTAAGAAGGCAGAAGTAAAGGTGGTAGAAGCATGGGGATAGTGATGCCTTACCCAAAGAAGCCACGTTCCCATAATTCTCCAGCATCACATCCCGGTACAGGTTCCTCTGTGCTGAGTCCAGCCATCCCCACTCATCCTGAGAGAAGGTCACCTCGACGTCCTTGAAAGTCACAGCCTCCTGAAAAAACACAGTCCTACGCCCTAGAGCTGGTCCACAGCTCCTGGCTTTTAGGAGAAGACAGGGAAATGAGGGTGGCTCTGAGTGAATACAGGATAGATCTGGTAAGGGTGAGAGAGAAGACCATTACCCACAAGAAGAGCTCTGGGCTCAAGGGGGACAATGTGGTCTCTGGTACGTGGATCTTGAATGTGAGGTCACTGGACAGAGAGACCCAGGACAAGGGGGAGCTGCAGCTACTCCATTAGGCAGCAACGCTGAGACGTCAGAAAGGACCAAAGGTCTGGTGGCTCACCTGAGGCTGAGCTGTCACCCGGTCTCCTGGGCACCCGTCTCTCTGGGAAAGGGCAGGCACCTGGGCAGCAGGAGGATCTGAAGGAGAGGAAAGAACCATGAGGGACGGCAGCCCAGCTCTTGGCATCCCACTGAGAAGCCCACTCTTCCCCCCACACAGAGGATTCCTGGCCCATGAGCAGGTACGGACTGTTGTTAAACACCCATTTCACATTTCCGCAGTGCCTGCTGAGGGCTGGGGAGTGGGGAGTGGAAGGCGCAAGGGGAGGAGGAGCTAGGCAGACAAGGGTCACAGAAGGGACAGAAAGGACACACAGCTAAGGGCCAGGACAGTAAAAGATTCTCGTGAGAGGACAGATGGTAAAAAGACATTATAGAAAATTCGGGAAGTATGGCATAAGGCTGGGGTCTTAGAGCCAGGCAGCGAGTACCGGATTGCCCAGCCAGGAAGTCACGCACTCCTATTTCATAGGGAGGCTCCAGGCGGTCCCCCAGAGCAGAGCTGCTCCTGAGAGGTGAAGCAGGGGGCCATATCTGTGCGGCTCGCAGGGCTCCTGTACCCATCCAACGCACATCTGGGCTCTGGGCAGGGGCTGGGTCCTGGGCAAGAAGAAAATGTGGTGAGAGGATCCCCACGGAAATCAGAAAGCAAACTCAGAGAAGAGGCCACATAGCCAATCCCTAAAGGGCAGAGGCCCAGGGAAGAGAGAGTCAGGCCCTTTACTACCTACAGGCAGAGGGGAAAGGAAGAGGAGAAAGCCCAGGGAGGACCCCCTCACCCCCCAGCCTCCCTGGGCTCTAGTGCAGGCCATGGAGGAAACAAGTGGAGCCAGATTCCAGCTTGACATAAAAAAGCAGCTGGCAATTCAGTAACAGCACTGTTACAGTGACACCTCCCCAACAGCCCTCAGCCCCTACCCCCAGCCTGGAACTTAGAAATGAAACAGAAGAAATTTATCCCTGAGAGTTAAACTGATAATGGTTCACAGCAGAGACGCAGTTGAATAATGTCTACCAAGTATCAGGCACTGCTCTAGGCACCAATATGCAAGGTGACCTCAGAGGCAGGGTGGCTCCCAGACTAAATCTCACCAAAACAGTGACACGGCTAGAGAGGCAATGCTAATTGTGAGGGTCAGCCAGGGAACTACAGAAGAAAAAGTCTCAGGTACAAAAAATGGCACTGCCCATTCAAGCAGACACCTGGAAAGAGGTGGCGCCTTTGCCTAGGGACTTCAAGTAGTTCTGGTCTCTGAGGCAAGGCTATCCCCGATATAGAAATGAGTAGAGGAAGCTACTGCCCATGAACTTCAAGTTTTTCTGGTCCAGTGGCCAAGACATTCTCTATGCTGATATGGATGGATCTTAGCCTAAGGCCATTAAACATCTGATACAGACTAAAACTACAGACTAAAGATGATAAGCTCATCACAGTATTTTATCTCCTGTTCCTCCCAAACTCTACCAAAGGGAGAATAAAGAAACAACAAGAATACAGAAGCACAGCCAAAGGAATTTACGGACAAACTTTCCCAGGCCCTGGTTTCTCTCATTTTGATAATTTTGATGAACCACAGCGTGATTCTGTAACTTTATATGCATCTTCAATATTTCTGTTCATTTTTCAGAATTTGGGAGGCTTTCTCCCAGCCCATTTTTTGTTTTCTAATTTCTTACTGGATTTCAACCAAGTAGTTGCTGGATGCCTTTCTGCTCACTTGGCAATATTTTCATGGACTTTTAAACCTTACATCTAGCTCTAAATGAGGTGAATAAAACCAAGTCACGGTTTTGTGCCTACTGTGTACCTTATTTGTTTTAATAAATAATTTTTAGATCCTTTTGAACATCTCACTGTTTTGGTAAAAATGATACATGCTCTTTTAGAATTTAAAAAACAGTACCCAATGTTGAGCAAAGAGGTTTTGTTTTTTAATAGTCATACCTTGTGTTGGTTTATTACCATTTACTGCTGGTAATGATACATGATACATTACTGCTGGTAATGGTAATGAACATGGTAGACCATGTTCAGATGTGTTAATTGATTTAATTTTATATTAAATTTGGGGAAGAAGCACATCAAATATGTTTCAGAAACCTTAAAAGTAACTTTGATCTATGCAGGAATCATATATGTAGAATAACACATACTCTTATAGAAATAACGATTTTAAAGAAGCCTACAAAAATGATAAACGCTCTTTTAAAAACAACTTCCACAGATATAGGAAGCACTGAGAAGCTCACCTGTGTCAGGCAGAAGGGGCAGGAAAAGTGCACTTTAACTGACCTGCGCTCTGCTGCCAGCACTGGGACTGCCAGTGCTGCTTCCCAGCACCAAGGCCAGGGCTGGACACATGGCAGGCAGTCAAACAGACACTGAACAAATTCGCATTGTTAGATCAGTTTTGCATTTTCTTTTCTATAAACTGAGGCTCAGAAAGAAACAACAATGTGAGCAAGAACACTGAGGTTGCAAAATGAAGTCTAAAATCAAGGTCTTCCAATTTCCTAGCCCTTGGCTGCCCCTCAGCACTCTTCTTCCCCCCACCCTCAGACAGAACAAATCCTCAAAAGCTTATCGAGAAAGAAGCAATAAAGTACATGTAGACTGCTCTTCTAGGTCTTAACATGTATTCAGAAGCCAAGAGTCCTGACTCGAACTCTCTCCCTTATAAGCAAGAGACATCACTCCTACTTTACAGGTCAGTATCAAGTTCAAACCAGATAATAGGTAGAGATGGACTTTCTATACTGTAAGTCACTGTGTCCAAAAACTTGTTACTGTTACTTATGGATATTTGCTGATTCTCTTCCTGGAGCTAACAGTCCTCTGGGAAGGTGGGACAGACTGCCTACTAAAAGGTCCTTGGCTTAGGGTCCAGTTCTCAGATGCTCAGGTGCCATGGGAATGAGAAGGGAAGACTTCCCCTAGAGTTCTCAACTCTGAGGGTTCAGAGACCCACCCCACCCCGAGCCAAGCTGGCTCACTGGCAGGCGGAGTTCACTGGGCACTGCACACTTGCTCATACTCACCCTCCACAGTGTTCCATCGAGATCCCTCTGCAGCTCCTCCAGCAGGGCCACAGCCTCCCTACCACTCTCAGGGTGATGCAGCTGCACCCAGGTCCGGAGCTCCCCAGGCAGGATGCTCAGGAATTGCTCCAGCACCAGCAGCTCCAGGATCTGGGCCTTGGAGAGAACGTCAGGCCTCAGCCACCAGCGGCAGAGCTCCCGGAGCCGGCTCAGAGTCTCTAGGGGCCCAGAAGATTCATGGTAACGAAGCTGCCTGAAGAGCTGGCGGAACAGCTCCTGGCCAGGACGGTTGAGTGTCTGTGGCCTGGCGGCCTGCACTGAAGTGTAGCCTTCATCCTCTTCTTCCTTCTTCACCATGTGAAGGCGCTTTCTCTCCCTTGAAGCCTGAGCCTGAGCTGGATGGACAGCATACCACCTGCCTGGAGGCATCACTCCCGTTCAGTTTACCCAGCAGAGTGCAAACCAAGTCTGCATTAGCCGTGTTGCTGCTGGGACCTCGGGAGTTATCTTTTCAGCACCATAGTGGACCACGCCATTTGCTGGGACATCAGACATCACTGGCAAGAGACTGAAATAACCAATATTACTGTTCAGGAGGGATGTGAGAATAATGGTGCAGTTAGTTGGGATCATCTTTGGATCTATGAGAAGAGCGAGCTTGAGCATTTGTACAGTAGTGCCTGTCAGTATCCAGTAGACCAGGGTTACACTGCCACATATTGAGGTAAACTAAGAAAATATCCCAGAATACGTAAAATATGTACAGGGCTTGTGTGCTAAAAACTACAAACGGCTGACGAAAGAAGATCTAAATAAATTGATAGACATACCATATTCACGTATTGGAAGACTTGACATAGTAGAGATGCCGATTTTCCCCAAACAGATCTACAGGTTTCATGCTATTCCTATCAAAATCTCAGCAAGATTTTTTGTAGACACAGACAAGATTATTCTTAAATTTATGTGGAAAAGCAATGGAACTAGAATAGCTAAAACAATTTTGAAAAATAATAAAGTGTGAGGAGTCAGTCTATTTGATTTCAAGACTTATAGCTACAGTAATCAAGACTGTGGTATTGGTGGAGGAAGAAACACATAAATCAGTGGAATAGAAAAACCTGAAATAGACCCACACAAATATGCCCAAACGATTTTTAATATCAAATGTCATTTTACTAATATTTAAAAATATCTCAAATAAGCAGTTCAAAAACAATAAATAAAATACTGATTGGGAATCCCGTAAAATTAACTTTGTGACCCACCAATGGGTTAAGAACTATAATTTGGAAACTACTAATCTAGCTTCCCACTCAACTCCTTATTTCCTTTTATAATTCATCATAATGGAGTGTGTCCAAGCGTTCAAGCCTCTTTCGGGAGACAGCAGAGCTGAGCAGAGAGAGTAGAGAACATAAACTAAGACAGACCTGGATTCAAATCCAGCTCCCCACTTATTAACCACATGACTGTGGATGCATCATTTTATCTCTTGACATCTCTGTGGCCCCACTGTATAAAGTCGGGGTTGTTGTGAGGTTTAAATAAAAAACTATCTGGGGCACATTTGCGGCTCTCAATGAAGGTCTGTTTCTTCACCTCCAGGGGAAGGAGCTGGCGCTGCAGGCCACATCACTGTGTAGGAGTCTACCCTGCAGATGTGCGCAACCAATTTTTGATAAAGGTGCAAAAAGCAATTCAAAGGAGGAAGGACAGTCTTCTCAACAAATGCAGCTGGAGCAACTGGACATCTATACAAAAGATAATGAAAATCGACTTAAACCGCACGTCTTGTAGAAAAATCAATTCAAAATGAATCATGGACTCAAATGTAAAACAGAAACCTATACAACTTTTAGAAAAAAGCATAAGAGGAAATCTTCAGGATCTAGGGCTAAGCAAAGAGTTCTCAGAATTGATACCAAAAGCATGATCCATAAAAGAAAAAAGTGATAAACTGAACCTCGGCAAAATTAAAAACTTCTGCTCTGGAAAGACTTTTGTTGAGAGAATAAGAAGACAAGCTACAGACTGGGAGAAAATATTTACAAACCACATATCTAACAAAGGACTAGTATGTGACTATATAAAGAACTCTCAAAACTCAACTGTAAAACAAGTGAATAATCCTATAAGAAAATGGGCAAAAGACAGAAAGATACACTTCACCAAAAAGAACATACAGATAACAAATAAGTACATGTAAAGATGTTCAATATGATTAGCCATGAGGGAAATGCAAATTAAAACCACAATGTGATATCATTATACATCTATCAGAATGGCTAAAATAGAAAAATGACAACACCAAACGCTGTTGAGGATGCAGAGAAAATGGATCACTCATATATTATTAGAAGGAAAGTAAAACGTTAGACACTCTGGAAAACAGTCTGGCAGTTTCTTAAAAACTAAATATGCAACTACCACACAACCTAGCAACTGCATTCCTAGACACATATCCCAGAAAAATGAAAACTGATGTCCACACAAAAACCTGTACATGATTGTTCACTGCAGCTTTATTCATAATAGCAAAAACTGGAAACTACGCAGATGTCCTGCAATATGTGAATGGTTAAACTGAGGTACAACCATACTGTGGAATAATACCCAGCAGTAAAAAAGAATGAAGAAGGGCCGGCCCACTGGTGTACTGGTTAAGTTCATGTGCTCTGCTTTGGTGGCCTGGCGTTTGCAAGTTCAGATCCCGGGCGCAGACCTATGCACTGCTCATCAAGCCATACTGTGGCAGCATCCCACACAAAAAAAATAGAGGAAGACTGGTACAGATGTTAGCTCAGGGCCAATCTTCCTCACAAAAAAAAAAAGAAAAAAACAAGAATGAATACATGCAACAATATGAACTCATCTCCAAAGAGTTATGATGAATGAAAAAAGCCAACGTGAAAAGGTTACATAGTGTATGATTTCATTTATATAACATTCTTGAAATAACAAAAGTATAGCAATGGAGAACAGATTAGTGTTTGCCAGGGTGGCTAAGGATTGGGGGGGGGGGCAGGCAAGAAGTAAGTGTGGCTATATGTAATAAAGAGTCTGACTTCATTTTTGATGTTTGACTACTGACAGCTTTCAAGCCCCACCACTCCTCCTTTCCTTCTTGCCAACATCTGGGCAAACAAATAAAAAAGCCCAGATACTCCCTCCTTCAGTGCTGGCGGGAAGTTCAAAGCACACAAGCCCTGGCCTGTGTACAAAAACCCTCACCTCAGCCCCATTCTCTAACCATAATAAAAGCCAAAGCCAGTCACCTCTCCTTGCTCTCTTAAGCCATTTTTAGACCAGCTCTGGAGCCAGCCTTGCTCTTCCCTGAAGCTTCATTCAGTGGGTAATAAATCACTTCATATCCTTGTATGCACATACACACACATCATCAGTCTCAACATCCAAACCAACTGTTTTTTTGGGGGTGGGGTTGTCTATCCCACCAATAAGGAGTGACAACACTATAAAAGGGGAACACGAGGGATCTCTGTGGTGATGGAAATGTTCGGTGTCTTGATTGTATCAACGTCAGTATCTTGGTTGTGATACTGCACTATAGTTTTGCAAGATGTTATCATTGGGACCATGGAGGGGAAACCAAGTAAAGAATACGTGGGATTTTTCTGTATTATTTCTTATGACAATATGTGAATCTATAATTAATTCAAAATAAGAAGTTCAGTTATTTTATTTTATTTTTGTGAGGAAGATCGGCCCTGAGCTAACATCTGCCAATCCTCCTCTTTTTGCTGAGGAAGACTGGCCCTGGGCTAACATCCATGCACATCTTCCTCTACTTTACATGGGACGCCTCCACAGCATGGCTTGCCAAGTGGTGCGTCGGTGCACGCCCAGGATCCAAACCGGCGAACCCTGGGCCACCGCAGCGGAGTGCACGCACTTAACTGCTTGCGCCACCGGGCTGGCCCCCTTGAAGTTCAGTTTTTTTAAAAAGAGGAAATGCTCCATTTGGAAATATACACTCCTAAATATCTAATGGGTCAAAGAAAAAATCACAAGAAAAATTAGAAAATACTTTCAGGTAAATGAAAATGAAAACACAACATGCCAAAACTAACAGGATGAAACTAAGGGAGTGATTAGAGGGAAATTTATTGCTGCAAATGCCTATATTTAAAAAAAAAAAAAGTTAAAAAAAAAAAAAAACAAAGAAAGAAAAATCAATAACCTAACCTTCTACCTTAAAACATTGGAAAAAGGGGACCAGCCTGGTGGCACAGTAGTTAAGCTTACACACTGTGCTTCGGCAGCCTAGGGTTCACGGGTTCGGATCCTGGGTGCGGACCTACACACCACTAATCCAGCCATGCTGCCACGGCGTCCCACATATAAAGTAGAGGAAGACTGGCACAGATGTTAGCTCAGCGACAATCTTCCTCAAGCAAAAAGAGGATTGGCAACAGATGTTAGCTCAGGACCAATCTTGCCTCACCAAAAAAAGAAAACAACAAAAAAAACCCACCGGAAAACAAAGAGCAAACTAAACCTAAAGCAAGCAAAAGGAAATAAAGATTAGAGTGGAAATTAATGAAATAGAGAATATAAACACACCAGAGAAAACCAATGAAATCCAAAGTTGGTTCATTGAAAAGACTAACAAAATTGATAAACCTTTAGCTAGATTAATAAAAGAAAAAAAAAGAAAGACTCAAATTACATAAATCAGAAATGAAAGAGGGAATATACTACTGACTTTACAAAACAAAAAGAATTATTTAAAAATATAATTTTTGCCAATAAATTACATATTTTAGATGAAATAGACAAACTCCTATAAAACACAAACTATAGAAACCAATTCAAGAAGAAATACAAAATCTGAATAGACTTATCATGAGAGATTGAATTAGTAGTAAAAAAACTACCCAAAAACAAAAGCCAAGGCCCAGATGGCTTCATTGCTGAATTCTACCAAATACTCAAAGAAAAATTAATACCAATTCTTCACAAATCCTTCCAAAAAATAGAAAAGGAGGGAACACTTCCTAATTCATTCTATGAGGCCAGTACTACCATGATACCAAACCTGACAGACCAATACCTCTTATGAATATAAATGCAAAAATTCTCAAGAATACTCACACACTGAATCCAGCAACATATAAAAAGAACTATACACCGTGACCAAGTGAGATTTATCCCAGGAATGCAAGGTTGGTTTAACATAGCAAGAGAATAAAAAACAAAGATCACATGATGATGTCAACAGGCGCAGAAAACTCATCTGATAAAATCCAAACTTTTCATGATAAAAGTACTCACTAAGAATAGAAAGGAACTTCTCAATATGGTAGGAAGCATCTACAAAAAGCCCACAGCTAACATCATATTTAATGGTTAAAGACCAAATGCTTTCCCCCAAAGAGTGGGAACAAGACAAGGATGTCCACTCTCACTTCTTCTATTTAACACTGTACAGGAGGTTCTAGCCAGGGCAATTGGGCAAGAAAATGAAAGGGGAAAAAAAAGGCATCCAGACTGGAAAGGAAAAAAGTGAAACAATCTTTATTCATAAATGACATGATCTGATATAGC